CAGCACAAGTCACCATAACTAAGATCTGGAAACAGCCTAAGTGCCCATCAGTAGATGAATGGATTAGAAACTGTTACATCCACACGATGGAATACTATGCTGCTGTAAAAAAGAAGGAACTCTTACCATTTGCAATGGCATGGATGGAACTGGAGAGCATTAGGCTAAGTGAAATAAGCCAGTCAATGAAGGAAAAATACCACATGATCTCACTCATTCATGGATAATACAGACCATTATAAACTTTTGAACAGTAATAGATACAGAGGCAGAGCTGCTTCGAACAGATTGTCCAAATGCAGCGGGAAGGCCGGGGAAAGTTGGGGGGCAGGAGGGTGGGGTATAAGAGATCAACCGAAGGACTTGTATGCATGCATATATGCATAACCAATGGACATGGGACGTTGGGGGGTGGGGGAGGCCAGGGGATAGTCAAGGGCGGGAAAAAAAAAGACACATATGTAATACCCTTTGTAATACTTTAAGCAATTTAAAAAAATATGTAAAAAGTAAAAAATAAAATAAAATAAAATAAAAATTAAAAAAACCCCAGCATATAAAGTGCATGGTAGAATGTTCTGATCAGGAAAAGACGATGTGAGGCACACAGATATGATCTTTTATATAGAGAACATAGAAGGTGACAAATGTAAATAGTGGGGCAAAGTTGACTAGCCCTGTCAGATAGGCGTTAATATTGTCCACTTATGTAGGAATATGTATTAGTTTGACTTAGTAGAAATATACTGTGCTAACTCTGTAAATTTAGAGTCTTTTGAGAAACAGACCAGATAAAGAGAAGACTCTAGAATTTAATATTTTTGGTGCCATAATATATAGATGAACCAAGAATAGAACTGGAGCATAACCTTCATCTGAGTGTTTAAGTACCACTAGCAGTTATGCCAATTATGCAGCTCCATTATTCCACTAGAAATGAGAACAGCCACATGCAAATGGAATTGTGTAAAAGTTAAGGGAAGAATAAAATAGTAGCTACATCTTGAGTGAAGTTCAGGGCAGTGGTTTGGTGAGGGTATGTACAGAAAACAAGGAAGGAAGTCACAAAGGGATGAAATTGGCTGAAATTGAAAAGAAATACAATGTAGTTACTACACTGCGATTTGTGCTCAGAAGCCTCTTTGATACCTGCTGAGCTATTTCATTTCCTATAAAGTCACTGTAATGAAACCACAGCACCTCCCATTATACACAGTGACCCTGATATATGGAAAGAAAGTGCAGTCCTGCTGCTAATAACGGCAGAGCTCACCAAATGGCAATGGTGCTATTCCGATATACTGTACTACATCTATGTATCAAGCATTGGTATCTTTGCTGGTATAATACCATTATCTTGGTCTTTAAAAAATTCTAAATCAATGCCTCTTACTATCAAGATCAAGGACTCAACTATTCAGACTTGTAACTTGTTTTTATATAAATTGAATAGTTGAGTCCTTGTTAATCTCCCATTGAAAGAATAAGTCCTTCTAAAGTTCAAGTGATACTGCAAAAACCCACCTAGGGATGTGTCTGCAAAAGATATTAAACAAACACCTAAGATGCTTCCTAAAAAACTAAAAACAAAACACAAAGACCTTGCAAAAAAAAAAAAAAAGGGTCATTCAAAAAGATCCATTCAGAGTTATAAAAAAGGAGCCAAATGTGTGAAAAAAAAAAAAGTGTTTAACTTATCAATTCTAATATCCCCAAGAGCCCATTTCCTGCAGTAGTAATTATTACCCTAAAACATACTCACAATTCGATGATGATGAAATCAATCTTTTAAAAATCAGAAGACATTCTATTTTCAATTTTGCTACAACGTATTTTCTTTATTTTGGCATAGTGTTTAAATATTTTATTGATTTCATCAGCTAATAACTAGAATATTTTTTAATATTTATATTTTTATACACTTATCTCTGTTTTATAGTTCTACATACATTTCTACTTCGAATATATTAAACATTTAGTTTGGGCTACTTTTATTTTTAATTTTAAGAACAATGAAAAAGTTTATATATTTGAGTATACTCAAAATATATATGGAACAGTGTTATTTTGCTCAAATATAAAATCACTTGAATTCATTTTATTGATAGCTTTATTGAACTCAGATTTTTGACTGTTCAGGCGGTTGGCACCCAACCTATGTTATTCAAGTGTCAGTTATACATGTACACAGTGATGTCTGGCAAAGGGGTAAACTAAATTTTGGCCTGTGGTTATCTCTGAGTGATGAAATTTCAGATCATTTTTACCAGCTTCTTCACACTTTAAGATAACTAAAATTTGTTTTTTATTTAATAAGTATCCTATTTTATAATAAAATATCAATAATAAATATATTGATAGTAAAACATGGTTTAATAAAATGGACTAACCTGTTGTTCCAGAAGACTCTGACTCCCTCAATTTCTGAGATGCTAAAAGTTTTTCCTGCAGAGCTTTCTGGGCAAGTTGTGCATCCCATTCTTCTAGTTCTTTTTCAAATCGCTGGTTATCTTCCTCAACAAAATCTCTCAAATCCGGTGGTAATGTTTCTATTCCAACAAGGGCCTGCCCAGTTTCTTTATTAAACTCCTCTGCAAATTATATTTCAAAAACTAATATAAAATTAAGAATTAAAGGAAAAACACAAAGCTCCAAATAGAATGCATTTCAAATGAGATATAAAGTATAAATTATTACAGTTAGTAAATAAATATTACCTAGAAATTAAAAGAAAACTCAAATGCTCAGAAAATCAATGATTCAAATATTTGATAATCCATTAGTGAATATTCTCATCTTTCATTTCTAATTGGAAGAGTAAAAAATGCAACCAAATATAAAGCCAAAATTGCTACTCAAACACTGGCTACTTGTAAGTACTACTTTTTCTGTTATAAGAAAATACCAGATGTCTGATTATTCATGAAGTAAAACTTACCACAAAATGAGAATAACTCATAACCTTATTAAGCTCAAAATAGAACTAAAATTCTTTTTCATCAGAGGCAGTTAAGTAGTAACAATATATTTATACTAGAGGCCTGGTGCATGAAGTTCATGCATTCAGGGTGTGTGTGTATGTGTGTGTGTGGGGGGGTCTCTTAGCCTGGCCTACGCTCTCTCACAGTCTGGGAGCCCTCAGCGGATGTCCGATTGCTGGCAGTTGGACATCCTTAGCGCTGCCACGGAGGCAGTAGTGGCTCCCAACACCACCTCTATGCTCACCAGCAGTGAGTCCGGCTGAGGGCTTCTGGCTGAGCGGCACACCCCCTGTGAAAACACACTGGCCACCAGGGGGATGCTCCTGCGTTGAGCATTTGCCCCCTGGTGGTCAGTGGGCATCATAGTGACCAGCTGTTCTGCTGTTTGGTCTATTTGCATATTAGCCTTTTATTATATAGTATGCAATTTGAAAACTAAGTAACATAGAAAGATTTTTAAAAGATTGTGTAAATATTACTTAAGTTATTCAATTTCTACTCCACAAACACCAATTAAATTTTTTTCAATCACAAGTGGATTTCCTAGCTAGTTTTGCTGAATAATTAAAGGAAGGTTGATTTTATCAGTTTCGACAAACCTTTATTAAGTGTTTTCTATATGCAAACCCTATGTCAGAATATAAAAAAACAAAAAGACATAGTATAACATAGTCCCTGGCTTTGGGCAGATCAGAGTGAAGTGGGAAAGACAAGTCAACATACAACTGCAACACACAGTAAGTGCCTGACAGAGGGATCTCTGAGAATACCAGGAAGTTTTCTTTCTGGCAGACAAGGAAGACTTGCAAAGCAAATGACACTTAACATGAACCTTGACAGACGAGCAGGAATTAGGCAAAAAAGGCAAGAAATAAGAACATTGCAGGCAGAATATAAAAAAACCCGTAAGAACATACAGATATAAATGTGTGAATAAAATGATTTGGTGAGAGCAGAATACAGCAAGAAGTTCAATATCATTTTAAAATGGATAGACAATGGTCATAAATGAGGCTGGAGAGACAATCAAGAGCTCAGAAATATGTCAGGGTGAGGAACTTGAATAAGAGTCAATGTGTGTTGTAGTCATGAAAGAATTTTAAGCAAGGAGAAACATGTCATATTTATATTCTACAATGGTTAAATAAATAGTTAACTTTGAATACAAAATATATTCTAATTCTCACCCCTGGCCATATTACATTTTGATTTGGGTTTACTCACAATAACCCAATAGCATTTTCTAATCATATCCATCATTCCCTGCGTGAATTTTATATAACTCATCAAACCAGAGACCAGAGTCACATAAAAGGATAACTTACTTAAAAATATACAGTACCCTATATATTTCATATTCTTACCTTGTATTAAGCATTGTGCCTTATCATTTATGTACATTAAACAGTATGCACTGGCATTTCTATAACCACCAAAAGAGTCCCTCACTAGCTCTTCCCATGATGATCTTGTCACAGCAATATCATTGTATTTCATCCATCTGTTTTCATGATGATCAAAAATGTATGCCCAGTAGTGCCCAGCATTAGCTTGGCCTTCATGAACTAAAACAGCATGTAAGCGATAAGGAACCTAAATATGAAAACAGAAGAGTTAAACAGAAAATCAAGAGTCTCTTTACTGTACCACATTCCATGAAACACACAAACTATGTGACTAGACGATACATAGAAGCATATTTCCTAATAAAAGAAAATTGGCTGAGATTAAAAGTTTGAAAAAAATATTAAACTACAAAATAATAAAAGAAGGGGAAGATAAGCTAAATATGTGGAAAGCAGACAGATGTATAAATTGGATGATTTTAAAACTTTGAAAATGTATTTTATGCAAGTATTTGTTGATCTATTTCACTTATTTCTTTTGAATTAAGAGCTTATATTTTTATATAAAGCACATGATTTGTCTAAATCTTCAAAATTATAAACTGATGGCTCAATTTACCAAAATGGCTTATTCTATTAAACACTAGAATATATTTACCAGAACTTAAAATGTAATTGAGTCCTATGCTTTCTCCCATAATCTTAATATCTTTAAACAGCCTTATGATTCTCTCATGATTTTATTTTTAAATATTAAGGGGAATTCTGATATATTTTATTATTAAAAATAATAAAAAGAGTAAGCAATACAGTATGGAAATATAACTGAATGAAGTAAATATTAATATGGCTTCTTTAAGTTCAGCAATTTTATAACAAAACATGTAAGAAGAATTTGGTTAAGATAAATAAAACATGTAAATAATTTTTATAATGCTTACTAGCTCAAAATTTAACTTACTTGGATCATAGATTTATCCGAGTACATCAGTTCAATAGTTCGATGGATTCTGGATATGCTTTCCTGCAAATCTAAGAGCAGAAGATGTCATTTAATGATTAACTTCAAGGAAATGTCTACTGAGACCTATAAGACAGAGATTAAAGATTTTCCTGCCAATATGTTAGAAGAATAAAAAAATTTTCCTAAAAGAGTTCTTAAAAACATTATTATTTGGAGTCTATATAAATATAATTCTCTTGCCCTAACCGGTTTGGCTCAGTGGATGGAGTGTCGGCCTGTGGACTCAAGGGTCCCAGGTTCGATTCCGGTCAAGGGCATGTACCTTGGTTGCAGGCACATCCCCAGGAGGGGGCGTGCAGGAGGCAGCTGATCAATGTTTCTCTCTCATCGATGTTTCTAACTCTTTACCCCTCTCCCTTCCTCTCTGTAAAAAAACCAATATATTTAAATATATATATATAATACATATATAATTCTCTTTAATAAAATATACAGCATAAATTCATAATTAAAAACCAAAAAATATGGTTCTTTTGGAAAATGTGTGGAGCCAATAAAACTATGTATCTATAAAAAAGTTTTCAATGAAATTTAAAGCTAAACCCCCTTACATATTTATGTAAATCAGAAAAACTTTAGCATGAAATAAAATACCTTCACTACATATCTTATATAAACACATAATTGAATAAAAATTCACTAAAATTACCAATGGAAATAAAGTTCCGAGACTCCCATTACTCATTATTTCCATTTCCAGTAGAAATCTATCCTACACAAAGACATTCCGAGACAGGGATGTTCACAGATATATTGTCCATGTAAGTTAAAAACTGAGACATATCTGTCAATAAGAAAATGGTTCGTTATAGTATAATAGCATAAACACTATACTATAAATTTGTTGAAAGGAATCAGAAACAAACCATGAAAGACTATAAAAAAAATATGTCA